ATAGAATAGAATAGAATAGAATAGAATAGAATAGAATAGAATAGAATTCTTTATTGGCCAATTGTGATTGGACACACAAGGAATTTGTCTTGGTGTAAATACTCTCAGTATACATAAAGAAAAGGTACATTAGTTAAGAATCAAGAATCATAAAGTACAACACTTAATGATAGTCATAGGGTACAATCAACAATCAAATCATACTAGGCAACAGTCAAGTGGGAGGGGATGGGTGATAAGGAGTTATGAGAAGATTAATAGTAATAGAAGTGTACACTTCGTAAATAGTTGAACAGTGTTGAGGGAATTATTTGTTTAGCAGAGTGATGGCGTTTGGGGAAAAAACTGTTCTTGTGTCTAGTTGTTCTGGTGTGCAGTGCTCTATAGCGTCATTTTGAGGGAAGGAGTTGAAACAGTTTATGTCCGGGATGTGAGGGGTCTGTAAATATTTTCACAGCCCTCTTTTTGGACTCGTGCAGTATACAGGTCCTCAATTGAAGACAGGTGGGTCGTAATTGTTTTTTCTGCAGTCCTAACTATCCTCTGAAATCTGTGTCTGTCCTGTTGGACTGCAGAACCAAACCAGACCATTATAGAGGTGCAGATGACAGACTCAATCATTCCCCTGTAGAACTGTATCAGAAGCTCCTTGGGCAGTTTAAGCTTTCTGAATTGGCGCAGAAATCACATTCTTTGTTGTGCTTTTTTGATGATTTTTTGATGTTAGGTGTCCAGTTTAGGTCATGTGATATAGTAGAACCTAGAAATTTGAAGGTCTCTACTGTTGATACTGTGTTGTCTAGTATTGTAAGAAGTGGTAGTATGGGAGGTTTCTTCTAAAGCCTACCAGCATTTCTACGGTTTTGAGTGTGTTCAGTTCCAGACTGGTCTGGTTACACCAAGAGGCAAGTTGTATAACCTCCTGTCTGTATGCAGACTTAACATAGTTGTTAAGTTAGTAACACAGTTCTGAAGTAACTCTGGATTCCTCGTTGACTTTGCTCATCAGAAAGCCTCAAAGGTTGTTCCTATGACCTCCAGGACAGTACAACCGCCATAAATATGAGCTAGTTGATTGTTTGAATACAAGCCAGTCGATCACCTGAATTTTGATCACATGACCATGGGGATGCTACAACGGTCATAAGTGTGAAAAATGGTCGTAAGTTGCTTTTTTCCCCCAGTGCCATTATAATTAAATGAACAATAGTAAGCCAAGGACTACCTGTATTAAATATGTAGATGCAAAGCTGAAGCTGCAACACTGAATTATACTTCCAAGATATGGAATTTGACCTTTAATGAAGAACTCTGGTTCTATAGAGCCTTAGGGTTGGAAGTGAGAATTATTTTATATAGATAGGAAGAAATTTACATTCCTGATGTTATGTAATGGGTCCAAGGGGGATGTTCTTTATCAATTTTTAAGTGTATGGATGTAGACAGAGTTTCCTCTTTATTTCTCTCTCTGTCTCTCTCTCTCTCCTTCCCTCCCCTCCCTCTTTCTGCATTTTACTAATCTCTCTCCCTTTGCCTTCCCATCTTTCTTACTCTCTGAATAATGGAAGGCCTTCCTCTATTCCCCCATGCATGTCCAGGCATAAAATATCTTTATGTTTTAATTACAAAGAGTTGCTTTTCCAAGTCCCTGCTCAGTTTAAATTTCAGCACTCTGGGAACCTGCTTCTATCTTTCTTCATGTCTGCCTATTAATGCATACCTGTTTCTCTTATGTCCAATAATTTAGCAGCTTGTCCAAGAGGAGACAGGCAGAGCAGAAGGACCAAATGGCTGCTCCATCCTTTTCCTGCTGAACAGAGGGAGGAGGGGGGAGGAAACCACAACAGAAATAGGGACGGAGGCACTAATGCATTAATAGATTCCTATCTTTGGCAATTATCTGCTCCATCATTTAATTTTATCTTCTGTCCTTTTAAATGTTAAATGGGAATATATTTTGCTAGGATGTTCAGCATTCCACCGTCACATCACTTGGTTTAGAGAGGCGTTTTTTCTTTTTTTAACTTTAGCCATTTTAACATGTGTGGACTTCAATTGCCAGAATTCCCCAGCCAGCATGAGATGGGAAATCCCCAGAATCAGGGATCTATAATATCTAAACTCTTGTTAGGGTTGTGCTGAAGCCTGCTGTCATGCTAAACACCAAGAGTCAGTTTGGTCTAGTAATTAAAAAGCAAGAGACCAGAAATCAGGGACCATGAGTTCTAATCCTGCCTTTCGGCAAGAAAGATGGCTGGATGATTTAGAACCAATCACCAGGAGATGGTGAGTTCTAGTCCTATCTTATCCATGAAAGCTGGCTGGGTGACTTTGGACCAGCCACTCTCTCTTAGCAAAACCAACCTCAGAGAGTTGTGGTGGTAGTAAAATAGAAGGAGAAAATAAAATTCGCCACCTTGAGTTATTTATCAAGAAAAAAGGATGGGATAAAAATATAATAATAACAAATAAACAAATGAAGAAGCTGTTTTCAATATTCTTTACAATCTGCGTATATGTGTGTATGTGTGTGCATGTGTAAACAATATTAAAAACAGCTTGCTTATTATACATACATACACATACACACACACACACACACACACACACATATATATATATTGGAGCAGAGATAACAAATATTATCTCTGCTCCGACTGCAATCCATTTCCCTTCATTTTTAGAGTATCTAGTATTCAGAGTTAGCTGTGCCCAGTTCATTATCTCCATTAGCCAAAAAAGGCAGAATTTCTTCTGAATATATTTCCATTATCAACACCTGAAGTTTTTTTTTTCCCACTTGATAAGAAATAATCTGTTAATTATCCAATGATGTACTATAGATAGATAGAGAGAGAGGGGGGGGGGGGGGGAAGGGAGGAAGGATTTGCAGAAAATGAGAGAGACTTGTTTAAAAAAAGTAATTAGAACTGCCCACTAGGAAGGAAAGAACTATTGCTAATTATGTCAGGCATCTTAAGCCAAAAAAGTATCTGAGGTGAAGAGCAAAGGAACAGAACGTAAGAGCAGGCAAACTCCATCTTGGAAATATCCTGCCAGCAACCGCCAAAGGGAAGTGAGCTGCAACCAGTTTGGCTGGAGGCCCAGCACCATCTGTGTAATATTTTACGCTGTGTGAAATGGAGAGCCTAACTTGAAAACACTTTTTTTTAGTCCCCCATTACATAGGTGAGATAGGAGAGAGAGAAATTCTTCCACATGGAGGTTATATTTTTAAATAGCAGCTGAAAGTGTAAGATGACAAAACTCAAGCCCATTCATGTTTCCTCCTCCAACTTTTGAGGAAAGTCTTATTCATGCCTTACATCCACTCTTCAAATCTGTAGCATGGGTAAAATAAATGCGTATTGGTCTCTATCCAGGCTTGGAATTTTTTTTAAAAAGCCGGAAATTATGACGATCGGTAATTTTTCAAATGTGCTATTATTGTTATTGTGATTGCAACAACAATGGGATGAGTTTTTTCAGCATAGATTAAGCAGAGCAAAACAGAACTGAATGTCTCTGTTTCAGAAATGGTATTCAACCGGTTCACACCGGTTCAGGCGAACCGGTAGTGGTGGAGACCCCTGGCTGGCCACGCCCTGACCCGGTCACCCAGTCACCCAGTCGCCCAGTCGGTCACTCGCCCCGGTCACTCTCCTAGCTTTCCCTAGCATTGGTCATGTGACTGAGTGGGTGTGGCCAACTCGACGTCACTCGCAGCAAGGTGCCACACCACCTTGTCGAGTTGGTCACGCCCACCCAGTCACATGAACACTAAGCCACACCCACAAAACAAGCCATGCCCTCAGAACCGGTAGTAAATAAAATTTGAATCCCACCACTGCTCTGTTTCTACATTTTTTTCTTAAAAGACACAATATAAAGGCAGGATCCATGGTGGGCATAGTGCTAAATATTTGACCTTCTGTTGAGCTATATTTCTAATCATCTCATAGTCCATCTGTTTGTTTATTAGGCTTGTATCCAGTGGTGGAATTCAGCCAATTCGCACCAGTTCAAGCAAACTGGTTGTTAAATTATGCCACCCACCCACTGCCCGCTATCAAAATGGATCCTGGACACTGCACTGTGTTGCAATGGAGAAATGGGCGATGAAGTGGCCAGCACAAGGGAAGGAGAACGGTGCTTTCCCTCTTTCTTCTCCCTGCTTCTCCTCCTTCCCTCATGCCGGCTGCTCCATTGCCCTTTTCTCCATTGCACCGCAGCACCCAGGATCCACTTTGATAGGGGGAATGTAATTTAACAACCGTTTGGCCCAGGGTCAGGTTGAGTCATGCCTCCCATGACAACCAACCTGACTCTGGGCAAACCAGTTGTTAAATTACTTGAATCTCACCACTGCTTGTATCCTATCCAATTCTCTATGGGTTCTAAGAAGCTTTTCATCCATCCATCCACTTCCTTGTCTACCTGTCTATACTTCCCCTAGTCTGCCCATTCCCCTATCCACCTCTCCATCTCATTGCCTGACCGTCCACTCATCCATCCATCCATCCATCCATTTTCCTGTCTTCTTCTTTGACCATCCACCCATGCATCCATCCATCATTTGCTTACCTCTCTGCCTTTCTATATATGCATCCATCTTAAGGCTGAATTATGCTTTGGATGTGAAGAATGTGGGAGGGCCAATGTAGCACCAGTCTCTAAATGCTTGGGGAGGCCATGTCTTACCTTCTGCTAGCTGCACAAGGCTTTATGAAATTGAATAGGCTCCTCTTAAAGAGACCGTTTTAAAATACCTTGGTTTGCAGGAATAATTTAAGTGTGAGAACATGAGAGTTTATGAGAATAATAACTCATGAGAAATAGAATTAATGAGACTCTCCAGTTGGCGTTGGCTTTCAGTGAGCACAAACATGGCATTTCTCCAAGATGATCTAGCCCTAATCTGGTCTTTCAGATCTTCCAACAATGC